ACCGAAACGGTTTTTAATCATAAAGGAATATAGAAAGAAGGATTTCATGGAAAGACAATTTGATCTAGTTTGATAACTATTAGTATCACACAAAATCTTATCACGTGGGGTTTAATAAACCCAACACACTAACGAAGGGATAACCTAAAATCTAAATTTCACCAAATCCTCGAATATATCGTAGTGTTTTTTTATTAAAGAAAAACAGGGCATTTTAAAAAGTGTAAATTGAATAATTATTTTGAATCCACAGTTTCAAAACGAATCGTTTGTTTGAAAACGGTTAACCACTTTTAAATGAAATTATATACTTCTAAACATCTTTGACATTCCCGTCCCTAATATGCTTTGACATCAATGTGCCTCGACTTCAATTGATAATAATTTATCTATAAAATAAAATATATTACAATTTTGATAAATAAATTTGTATAAATTACAGACATGGTATACATAAAAATCACAAATTTTATCTAGTCGGTACTTGGGGTGTACAATTTTTTTTGGTTTTTTGGGTTTTTAGCCATAGTTCTAAGACCTTAAGTTGAAATTACAAACACGGGTAGGATCTATGAAAAGGTTTTTTAGTTGCATTTTGTTTTGTACATTGTCAATCTAGTAAAATAGAAGTATAATATAGCTATGAAAGAACATAATCTATGAAGTATAAATAGTTAGTGTGAGATTACTCTAATGGAAGTATATAATATTATAATAATATTTATTATACTTACTACATAAATATTATTTTTATTGAGAATAAACGATTATAATTTAAACTATCGAGTACATACGATTGAAACACTTGAATCATCGACCATGCCAACTAAATAGGGTGAAATATTATCAATTTTGGCTAAATAAAGTACCATTTAAGTTAGTTATTTACTCTGCTGTACAAAAAAATCAGTTAGCGGTCTAAGAGAAACTGTGAGTGTGGTAAAACATATTTTTTATACATGATTATTTTTATCATATTAAAATTGCCTCGCAAAATCGTAAATTGTTCATCTCTGAACCGGAGGAAACTGTGAATAATATAAAATGTATTTTTCCTTATTATTATTCACAGATAAAAATGAAACTCTTCTTTCTATTACTATCATTTTTCTTCGTGAACGTTTTGGCAGATTATACAGGTAGTTATTTTATTTTCACAGTTATCAACTGTAGTAAAAGTACTTAAAATTAAAAAAAAAAATCAATATTTCACTTTATTACAGGAATTTTTTTGGAATTGTTTTATCATACAAGTCAGTAACATTTTTATTTTATGTATAAATGTTTTTTAATCTTATAAATTTCCACTGTATTAATAAATATGTATCACAGCTATTAGCATCGAACGTGCTTATGTTATGAATAATTTAACTATAGGAGATCGATCTGGATTAAGTAAGATGTTATATTTAAAATAGTATACTAAAATATATAGAAGCTTTATTATATGTACCTAATTTTCAAGTTAATAGTAAATTAAAAATTACAGTTATTATCAATAGTTATGATCAATGCACCAACTATGTAGAACAGAACAATATAATATATACATTAGAAATTTCTAATAATTTAATATAGGGAGAAGCGTTAAGTTAAATGGCTACTGCTCAAAGCCGGGTTTATTATTATTCTAAACATTTGTATGGTACCAAATTGGCTTAATTTTAATATTGTAGTATAGCAAAAATCTTCATTTGTTTATTCTAGATGGATTGGAGCATGTAATTGAGACAATGGCTGATGATGTCAATAATGCCCTTGAATACGGGCAATTCCGTAATCATAATTAAAATAATAATAAAAAACATCAAGATATGAGTAGAAATTTTAAATTTTAAAATATTATAAAAAATGCATTGCTAGCTTATCTTTATGCAATTAATAAGTTTGTAAAAAACTGCAGATTTTAGCTCTATCAACGTCGTCTGATTAATATGTTTTATTCTCATGACCTAAACTACATCAACTCAGCCATTAGACTTCATAATAATTCCCTAGTCTATATAATATGGTTTTTTTCTACTTTGATTTTCGTCTTTTAATTTAAAATTTATGTATAATGTCAATTTCAGGCAAAATCAATTTTTTGATCGCTGTACCGGGTAAGAGTATTTGTTGAATTTTATGATAATATTTACAATATTTCTTTCCTATTGAATTTTTCACAAAGACATTCATTGTATTGAATTTACAGAGGAGCACATTTCTTCTGAGTTTTTAATACACGTGTTTTTCCTACCTTGAAATTCGTCTTCCTGTTTATATTGATTAGAAAATTAAATGCAATATCATTAATTTATGTGTTGTTAATTTCAGAACAATTGGAAATTATTTCCAGAATTGAAGGTAAAAATTTTCTTAGACTTTTATGGAAGTGTTTACACGCAGTTGTTTGAATTCTTTATATACACAAGATTTTTGATTTAATTTTAACTGTTCAATTTTTTCTCCCATTGGAAAGAAAAAACTCCTTTTTATATTTCAAATTGTTTATACTTATTGCATATTTATTACTTATAAATACTTCAATCATATGTTCCTATTGACAAATACCAATATCACATATCGGTTTCAATCATAAAAAACATGTAATTACAATAAAATGAATTTTGTTTTAAATTTTAGTAGCCGTTTGGTATTTACGAGGGATGAAAGAACTCATACACCGTTTACTAAGTAAATATTAAATAAAAAAAGTTAGAGTTACATATTTTTGTAGTTTTAAAGAATAACTGGATTTATAAATAAAAGTCATAAAGCTATATATGTTTTATGTTTAAGCTTTTAAGAATCATTTGAAATACAATTTTTTGCCTTAATTAATATTGGTTTAATTATACCTTAGTTATTAATTGAATGTTATGTATAAAATATATTAACCTGGTTTTATTAAATGCATAATGATTTGATATATTTGTTACAGGACTTAGAATGGGTGGATATAAAAAAGACCTAAGTAATTACGATTTTTTGATAGTCGTAAATAGCTTAAAAAGCTTGTTTTAAAGTTGATATTAGTTTCGTTTTATAAATCTAATAATTTATGTCAAATAGTTATTTCAACAAAAATAAACTTTTTGTTGAGAAGAGAGAGAGAAAAATTAATGTGTAATAAATTCTTTGGGATTTCAAGTATAGAAAGAATACATTTGTTGAATTTTAATACTAATAAGTGGTTGTACAAAAAGTTAGTTATATCACAATTCTTTAAAATGTAATGTAATAATTATGTGTTAAGAGTGACTAAAATATTATTTATAACTATTATTTCTTCGCAAAACGGTCATTTAATCATTTTTTTACTAGCTATGGAAACATTGAAACCTTATGCAGACCATAGGAGAGCATATATTGTTCCAGCTTTAAGAAATCTAATTGGACGTCGTTTATTAGGTAAATATTTATTTAGAGTTGTATGGTTTTGGAACGCTATCAATATATTTATATATTGATATGAGGGTGATTTTTTTATCATGAGCCACTCAATATCTCATAGGGTTTATTATAAAATTAAAATTTTTTTTTCATATTGTTTTTATCCCCCTCCCAACTTAGTTTTTTTGATACCAACTTTTGAAACCTAAATGGTAACTTATAAATTTAATTAACTTTTTAAATTGAGAAAAATGTATTAACATTTTTGACTGGTCGGTAACCAGTTTCGGATGACTATTTATGAAGTTATTGAAGATTCAAGTTTAGGGCAGGAGGAAAGGTCGAGTGTAGTACTATTTTTATCTGCGCTCATTTCCCAACTGCACTTACCCTCCCATCCTAACTTTAAAACACTTTTAACTTAAAAAATAGTTATCCGAAACCGGTTACCGACCAGACAAAGTTGTAAGTACATTATTCCCAATTCGAAAAGTTAATAAAATATATATGTTCATTCTTAAAGATCTTATTGTAGATTTCTTGTAGATCTTATTGTATAAAAACAATTAAAAAAAAATATTTTAATATCTTATTAAACCCTATGAGATATTGAGTGGCTCATGATTAAAAAATCAACCTGTATATATGTATATTTTTTTTAATTATTAACATAACAAGGATACAACCTATTTACATTTTTAACAATTAACCAAAAAAACCAAAATAACAAAATTACAAAAAAATTATAACTCCTGTCGCGAACTTTCATGTAATACAAACAACAAAAGCCTAATAGTTAAAAAGGACAAATTTCCAGACCTCTTTCCAAAAAAAAAGCAGCATAACAAAGTAGTGATATCAAAATTGTGGCTAAGACTACTATTTCTTTAGTTCATAACCTCTCTTTACTCCTACTTTCATGGGTAACACTTCTCTTTTCTTTGTATTGGTTAACACTTGACCAGTTTCTTAATGAAACATGACCTTTCCGAATGAGGTATAAAACAGACTTGGCCTCAATGTAGATGCCACTACTTTAATTGGCTGAATTTTTTGGGAGGTGATCTGAAATTGTTTTATTTTCTTCTGAGTTATCTCCTTCCTACCACCTACGTAACTCTTAGCTGAGTATATTTTATAATGATAATTTTAGATTTTCCCCTATAGTAACTATAAGACCTGCCTACGTGCTAAATTTCACGATTTTACCTATACGGGAAGCGTTTTATAATTTTGACGATGAGTGAGTCAGTAACAAAAATGAAAACTTTGAAATTCTCCGATTTTGAAACGCTTACTATTAAAGGCTCAATTTTTTACAGTATCCCAAGCTACATGAGCTTTATCTATGTTTCAAATTGCAAACGCTTATCTTAATAGGAAACAGAAATATGTGGGTTAGAAAAGCTGGGTGAATTAGTTCTTGTAAAGATACCCTGGCATAGCTGGAACTAGGCCTGGCGCACTGCCGTTCGCTCAGCTGTACAATGCGGATACCATGCTTATTGTATTATTTTTTAATGACTTCCTATTTGCAAATAAAATAGTTGTGTCCTGCACCATAAAGAAATGTAGTAACTAGTAAGCTAATATTAGCAAATTAAAAAAGTTTTCAAATTTTTTAGATGGATCTGTGCAGCATGTAGATGATGAAGCCTCTTTATTAGCTAATTGCCGTTTGTTAGGGTTATACTTGAGTACACAATCTCCAGAATCATTTATAGTAGGAGTTAAGATTGACTTAACTGACTTTACATGTACGTTTACGGACAAAAATGATGCCGAAAGGAGATACAGAAAAATTGATAACGTATGGTCCGAAATAAGCATGGAAAACCAAGTCATAAAATCACTTGAGCAACAGTTACGGTTTGGATATCCACAAGGTCGACCCATATCCTAACCTAATGTTAGAAAAAAACTGGCATCTACATTCTGTTCAATCCATTATATATTATAATTTATCTTATCATTATCACTTAATTTATTATAATATCTGAAATTTGAAATATTATTTATATTCTTAAGCTGATAGGTAAAGAACCGTTTGTGGATTTTTTCAAAAACGTATTCCACATTATACATTTTTAAGTACATATTATTGTATGTCGATTTCTGTTTTACGTCATATCTACAAATAAAATAAATAATCACCGAAAAAGTTAGGTTTTATCTGTTCCAACTATTTACTTATGCTTCTAAATCTTTTCCTTATATGTCTACCTTTATTAAATGACTGTGCGAATTTGGGAGGCAGGTTCATAATTTTTACTTCTAATAGATATTTCAACTTAATGGTTATTATATAGAGTATTGTTGTTATAGGTAACATAACCTAAATGGAGTTCTAATATTGGCGACTAAATAAAATTAAAATTATATTATCGAGTTGGGAAAAAAAATATTCTGGCTGGTCAACAACCAATGGTATTGGATTCGCTTAAATATGATTTAATTAAGAACAATGCAGGGTACACACATTAATTCAAATATTAACCAATTTACTGTTGTGTGTAAAAATAAAAACGTTGGAGCAACAGTTAAAAAATATCGATTTAGAACAAGAGACGATTAGTGAAAAAGAGTGTTGTACTGTAAATAGCATTAATAAAGACAATAAGATAAAAAATAAAACCAGTACAGTGGGGTCGGGGCATAATGAGGATGGGGAGGTCTCAGGTTTGGTTAGGTAAACGCTTCGATGCAAATCAGTAGTTAGTTATTTCAAGCCAGTACAATCCAAATCAAGCACAGTGTAAACCAGCAAAGTAAGAAAGTATTGAATTGAAGTGCTGTATTTACAAATAAGCATCATAGAATTTATATGAAAGAGATTTTATGTGAGAGGACTAGTACTGAGTAGAGTATAGTCATAATGGAATCAAAGCATAGAGAAGTCGGAGGGGTTACCGGTCTACAGAAATTATTATTATTAAAAGTGATTAAAGTGAATAAAATCACTTTAAAATAAACGCTTTGATGCTAATTTGTAAATACAGTACTTCAATTTAACACTTTCTTACTTTCCCGGTTTACACTGTGCTTAGTTTGGACTATATTGGCTTGAAAATACTAACTACTGATTTGCATCAAAGCAAATCGATCCACCGGACATCGGAAATCGTATAAAAAAAATTCAAGACTAAGCTGGCTTTTTTAAACATTATATTTAAATTCAAATACAGAATCCATTTGAGAGAATTCTAGCGAGGGACATTAACTCATAAGTCATAAATAATTTAGTGTAATATACTAGTGTAGTGTTTACTGCATTAGTTTCTGTTTCTTATGATATATTCTTTTTTTGAAGAATATCCCACATATATCTGTTATTACTTGTTTACATTGCTACAGGCGTTGTGAACTATTCTGTTAAAAACGTACAAAACAATTGAACGTTTGGTTTAATATAAAGAAAATTGCTAAAAATCTTAGCTTATGTGTGACCTTCAAGTTCGAAATTGAAAATTGTTTTATTCATTTTCCTAATATAGCTTATTCCAATATATATAATATATTGTAAGTACGTACACTGTATAGTGTACCATATAAAACGATGACCGAGTGTATTAAATAGAATGAGTGTATATATATTTTTTTTTAATTTAAGGCTTAAGGTTTTCAATCTTGGTTAATTGAACAAAAAGTAATTCTTTAATTTCTTACATCTATAAATGTAAGTTTATTTTTATAAATTTAGCCCAAAGCGTATACATTTAGATCTGATATTATATAATATTTTATTCGTGTGTACAACCCATAAGCATAGTCGTAGTGTAATATTGACATTTGTGAAATTTATAACAAATGGTGGCTTGAAAAGTAGTCAAATTACTTGTTTTTGTGGTCGCTGATTTCATATTTGATATCAGTTTTCAGTTTTCACCGGCCAAAAAAATCTTAGGTAAAAAAAAGAAAGTTAATTAAAATCTCAAATGGCAAAATAAATTTATTTGTTTATACATTTTATTTAATTAGAGGTGTGAATTATTTGTACCATATGTATATTGTATAATATACAACAATAATTATGTACCATTACCTAAATATCTTATTGTAAATCTAAGGTTAAAGTTGAATTCAACGAATCCAAATAAACATATAATTAGAACTTTTTTTAATGTTTTAAATCATGAATTTAGGAGATATTATTTTCGATCGCGTTTTTAGGATTTCAGCTCACTGTGCAGCGGTCGTGCAAACTGTCTTCATCTGTGGAGCTTCCGCTCTCGTCTGATGAAGGTGTAATTGGCGGAACTCCAAGCAGTAACTGTTCCTCGAGTGTTTGTAAAGACTGGTTTATATTTTCTAAGCTTGTCAGTGACCATGCGTTGTCAATTTTTCTGTATACCCTTATCGCATTAGATTCGTCCGTTACGATACAATTACGGCCAGTTGAGTCAATTACAAGTTCTTTTGTGAATGATTCTGGAAATTGTGTACTCAAGTATAATCCAAGCAAACGACAATTCGGTAATATAGAGTCGTCAGCCTCTTCGTCATGCACAGGTTCATCTAAAGTGTTTGAACAAATTTGTTTTTTAATTTGCTAATATTAGCTTACTGGTTTGCTACTTTTATTGTTAAATTAATACAATAATCATGGTGTCCGTATTGTACAGCCATGTTATTTGTATTACATGAAAATTACGTGATAGTAGTTATAGTTTATTTGGTTAATTGTTAACAAATAAAAATTGGTTGTACCATTGTTCCTATTAAATAACTCCATAGTAATATTTACCTAATAAACGACGTTTGATTATATTTCGTAAAGCTGGAATAACAATTTCTCTTCTCTGGTCTGCAATGGTTTCCGGTGTTGTCAAAACTATGAAAATAATTATTAAATGACTATGAAGAAATAATAAAAAAGTGGAGTAAGTACAGTGTGGTCGGGGCATAGCGGGGACGAGGAGGTCACAAGTTTACAGGATTTATTACAACTGAATTTGTGATCTAATCACTTTTAAATAAACGCTTTGATGCTAATTTGTAAACACTGAACCTACATTTTAAATCTTTCTTTGTATGCTGGTTTGGACTTAATTGGAAAGTGATTTTATCACTTTCAGTTGTAATTATTCCTGTAAGCCTGTGACCTCTCCGCCTCTAGTATTCTCCGAACCCACTGTACTGCCTTTTTTAAGATTTAAGGTATTTTTGTTAAAATATATAAAATTTTGAAAAACACAATTTTCCGGCAATTAATAAAAACTGTAGTCCCGAATTTTTTCTTCGTTTATTAAGTTATCGATACATATCAGTCATAACTCATGACCAATTTTCAACCTAATGGTTCTAAAATTATGGCTAAAAAACCATACAAACAAAATGCATGCAATCCCCTTAGGGGTTTAAGAAATGGGTATAATTAAAATTTCAAACTATTGACGTGTGGGGGCATACCAAATAAATATAAATATACTAATATGTTCTCTCTCTAATAGAAATCCCAATCAATTTATTACACATTAAACACTTAGTAGTCACCTACTCGCTCTCTATCTCTCTCTCCTTAACAAAAAGTTTAGCTTATTAAAATAATTATATGACATAAAACATTAAATACATAAAATTAAGTAAATATCAATAAGCTTTTAAGTCTATTTATGACTATAAACAAATTCGTAATTACCCAGATTATATCCCATCACACTATATCCTGTAACAAATACATCAAACATCAAATCACTATGCAGTAATTAAAACCCGATTAATATATTTATATATATCATTCACTCTGAGTTTCATTAGATAAATATTATTTAATGCAAAATATAATTGTACAAATGTTAATTTATATCTCATAGTGGTTTTTAAATAAACGGTGTAAATTATATTTCGAATGATTCTTAAAATCTTAACAATAAAAAATATAAAAGCTTTATGACTTGAAGTTATAAATTCAGTTTTTCTTTAAAACTACAAAAATATGTAACTTTAATTTTATATTTACCCAATATACTTTCTATTTCTTCTTGCATTTTATGAAGGAAAAAAGCGGCTTCTAAAATTTAAAACAAAATACATTTTATTGTACCTACATACGCTTTATGATTGATTGGTTTTTACTTTGGAATGTTGGATAAACTGGCGGTTCTGTAATAAAAAAAAAATCTTGAGTGCATCAAAGAACTGTGTGGAAACGCTTTCATAAAAAAAAATGCAAATTATTACGCAGTATTCTAGGGATAATTTCCGTATTTTCTGAAATTAACATCACATAAATTAATGATATTGCATTTAATTTTGTATTCTGTTGTAAACAGGAAGACAAATTTCAAGGTAGGCAATACATGTATATTAAAAACTCGGAAGAAATATGCTCTACTGTACATTTAATACGATGAGAGTCTCCGTGGAAAATTCAATAGGAAAGAAATATTGGAAATATTTTCATAAAATTCAACAAAAACTCTTACCGGGTACAGCGATCAAAAAATTAATTTTGCCTGAAATTGACATTCAATAAATTATAAATTAAAAGAAGAAGGTAGAAAAAAACTTTATAATATAGACTAAGGAATCCTTATAAAATATAATTGCTGAGTTGGTGAAGTTTAAGCGACGAGAATAAAATGTGCTAATCAGACGAGGTTGATAAAGCTAACATCAGTATTTTTGCATAAAGCTTTTATTTAGATTTCGGTGGAAAATATAATTATTATAACACTCATCAATAGCATAAAGATAAGCTTGAGAAGCATTATTTAAATTATTTTCAAATTTTTTTTTCTACTCTTGAGTTGATGATTTTTTATTATTCTTATAATAATGATTACAGAAATCCATGTAGTCAATGTCATTATTGACATCATCAACCATTGTCTCAATCACATGTTCCAATGCATCTAGAATAAACAAATGAAGATTTGGACTATACTAAAATATTAAAATTAAATCAAATTGGGTACCATACAAATGTTTAGAATAATATTAAACCCAGCTTTGAGCAGTAGCCACTTAACTTAAAGCTTCTTCCTCGATTAAATTATAAGAAATGACTAATGTATTTACTGCTAATATAGTTCTGCTATGTGCACTGTTCTACATATCTGTTGCATTTTCTTAACTATTCATAAAAGCTATAGTTTTTAATTTACTAATAACTTGACATATAAGGTACATATAACAAAGCGTTTATCTATATTAGCATAATATTTTTAATCTAATATCTTACTTGCTCCATATCTATCTCCTACAGTTAAATCGTTCTTTTCATAAGCAAGTCTCATGGCTTCAGCTATGACGCATAATTTAAAAAATATGTATAAAAACAGTGGATTTTATAAAATTAAAATCATTTGTTTATAAAATAAAAAATGTTACTGACTTGTAGTGATAATATACTCCAAGTAAGTCACTGTAAAAAAGTGAGACATTAAATTTATTTCAAATTTTAACTACCTTAAGTTGATAACTGTGAAAATTTCATAATTACGAAAATAATTTGCCGAAACATCCACGAAGAAAAAAGATATTAATAAATAGAAGAGTTTCATTTTGATCTGTGAATAATAGTAAATAAAAACAAAAATGTTATAATAGTCATAGTGCCTCCGGTCAGATAGGAGAAGGTTATGGTTTTGCGAGGCAGTTTTAATATGATAAATATATACATAATCATTTTTTTACTAGACCCACATTATTTCCAAGGCAGCTAAATGTTTTTTTTTGTATTAGACGTTATTTCACTAGAATTAAGATAGACAAAAATAAAAATAAATCTGTTAACTATTTAAATTAACCTTACTTTTTTATTGTATAAAAAAGTTAGGTTACACTATTCAAAATATAAATTAGAAAAAAGTATTTAGCTAAATGTTGTTATTAAAGTTACCTAGATTTTATGTGACATTACACACTCAATAGTTGTCAAGCGTCTAAACTTGAATATGCATAATGATTCTTATTCAACCCATAATGGATTTAAAGCGAAACTATTCATGAGTGGATAGAATATAACATTTTAAAAAAATATCCTTAGAAATATAGCTATAACTGTTATAAAAAATATTGAAATATCTTTTTAAATAGTACACTAAGGTTTACTGAAAAAATAAATCATTATCATAATAGCCTAGATTAGAATCTTGATATAGAGTGAAAAAAAATTTTTAAAAAAAAAATTTCATCTAAATCAAAAACGGAATATTCAGCAAAATAATTTAGATTGTCCACACATAACTCATAAATAAAATCTTATTTTTTGAGGGTATTAATTCTGTCTAATATACGTGTACAAATTTGTTTTTAGAGTTTTGTTTTAAAATCGCCAAAGATAAAATTAAAAACATGCAAAAACAATATTTTCTTTTGTTTGACTTATTTTCACTGTAAAAACACAAATGATTGAAAGATTTAATTTATATATTCATGTAAAATTTATAATAGAGAGAAACAATCTTTATTGGAGTGAACTGCCCGACGGTCGGGTTGCCTACATGACACAGTGTACACATTCGGACATAATTGTTACAAAATTCAAAAAGATTACATAATACAGTACAAACAATAAAAATAAATCACATAAAATACAATAATATAATGTAGTCTTAAAATACAATGATAAAATAATATAATTCAGATCACGATAGTCTAGTTTAAAAGTAAAAAAGAAAATTAGTTTGTATAATTTATAACCATATTTAGAATATAGATGTTTATGTATAACATTAAGCGTGTCACGCATGGTAGTTAAGCACATTTCTTTTAATTCTATTAATTCGAGTAAATGGGGCGGTGTGGCGCAGTGGACACCTCAGCTGCCGCATGGCACTTGAGGTTGAGCTGGGGCCGTTGCCGCTTGAACCCGGATGGGTGACCACCCGGATTTTTAGCGGCGACCCACACCATCAACCCCGAGGCTTGTGCCACCCCGCGGCGTAGCGTAATACAGTCGGTTGTCTGCTTATTCGCCTCTATTTTGATTGAGTTTGATGTACACTAAAAACTGTAATTGGCCACCAATTGCTTAAGTTTTGTTCATCACCTTTCTCCTTGTTCCATTCCATTCCAGCATCACTTTTCCGATAGCCCGTGTAGCATTTATGCACTTTACGCTAACGAAGAACGATTTCGTCTGGGCCTGGGGATGTTTCTATAGATATCTGTATGATGGACGACTCAATGTCTTCTTTTGTAAGTATAAACGTCCCGTCGGTATCTACGCTGGGGTCGTGTGTATCACGTATTTGATTGTCGGATACCTCAAAAAGGGAACGATAATATTGATCTATAACAGCTGGCATTTCCATTTTAAGCTTGGCCGACTTTGTTGAATTTAATAGGGCCCGCGCTACTTTGCGACGCTGGTTTGCATACTGCCGCTGTATGAGATCGTATTTATATTTCGGTTTAGAGCTCGTGGCTGTGCCCGCACTAATATCAACTCTGCCCGGAATTTGCTATTTTAACTATTTTCATATGGTAGCGAACAACGCTGTAGTTACATAGCGGTAAGCTTGTCGGCATTTCCGAAGGTAGTAGGAGAAACGCGTGACCTTGGCGAAGATGTTGTTCTGATAATCAGTAAGTTATGAAACTAATATTAACGCTGATATTTTAAAACTTCACATGAAATTTAGGTACGCGATGATATGGGAAAAAACACTCGCGCAATTTCATCTGTGTTCAGAGATCTTATGAAATATATAAATTTTATGTAAACTAAAACTCACCCAAATGCGTCACGCAGGGGCAATTAAATCATTATCAAACAGACAATAAATTATAAGTGCTTTTTAGTAAGTCACACAAGAACATATATGTTTCCTGCATTTTAGCTAAATGTAAAATATAGGCACTTCTTTTCTAGACCGCAGTCATGCTCTTATCAATATAAAAGTCATTATTTGCGAATTTCTATAATCCGGTTTTTATATTTTTTGTTTGTATTTTTGTTGTATTATAATCAATTTTAAGTAAAAATAAAAAAAAACTTATTTTTGCATGACGTATTTAATTTTGAAATTTTATTTTGGGCGATTAAAAAAAATGTATAAATAAAATTGTATACGTATATAAATTATGTTCCCTACAAAACTGTTTTTTTTTTATCTTTGTGCTGTTGAACATTTTTGAGTTATGATGGAAAATCTAAATAATTTTGGTGAATGTTGTTTCTTTGACTCGGGGCGGTCAAAATATATTTTTTTAATTTTATCTTGGTTGTACTCTACTTCAGTGATGTATTATGAAACTACTGACTTTTTCACTAAAAAATCTATTATAAAATTCTCTCCAAAATGTGGATTGTGTAAAACGATGATTAAGAATCGATAAAAAAATAACTAGCAATATAAAATCCTTATTACTGTTTTTTAACACTAAAACCTTTGATTTATTAGACTCATGCTTTTTTAGTTTTAGCGTAATAACAATTTCATAGAGTTTAATAGAAATACTTACTTAAATTATTGTGGAGAGGTTCTTGGACAACAATCGACTTGTTCAGCTTCAGAAACTAAATGTACTAATGGCGACTTATGGATGGGCTTTTACTTCGACCGAAAAATCACAAACTAAATATTTTTTTGCAGTGTAAATATTATGTACATTTATTTACACAACTCACAACTGGGTCATTTTTTTGTGGTTTATCGTGAACATAGGTTCCTTGGAAAGCGGAGTTAAGACTGTGTTTTTCTACGCAATAGGCACAGTGGGAGGGTCGGGGCATAGCGGTACAAGTTTTTATTTTGTAAACAATTGTATTACAGGCGATGTGTAATCTTAGACATAGGTATACCAACAAAACTGTATTTTACATGATTATGGTAGCCAACGCAATGAAACGTTTGGCATAACACTTAACTAATTCATTGCTCGTAAGATAGGATTCGTTTGGGATATTATTTTTTAAAAGTGGGTAACTTTTTTTTTTTTTTAATAATAATATTGTATTCTTCTTCTCCAACCCATATTGTCTTACGACCCCTCTCCTGGGATACAGCAATCCAGGCATTTCAGTCAACATGCTTGCGCATCATCACTATGGTGCCATAGTTTGTCACCAACACAACGACTTAAAATAAGAACTGTTCAAGAAGTTGCCTCTTTATACTACTCTAGATACCACAGTAAACTAGCCGACCATCCAAATAGTCTTATCGCCCAGCTCGGACCCTACCAAACAACCCACCTTCTAAACTAAACTTGTAAATAACACTTTTATAACTGATGTACAGGTGACTCTAATGTGAGTTTTCCTCTCAAGTATTTGTTCACGCCTTATTTATTATTATCATCATCTTATTTACTTATAGTACATTATTTTTTGTAGATTGTAAATTTTTCAAATAAACGCAAAAAAAAAATATATATTTTAGGTGTAAAAAAAGGAATTACCTTTGAGACACGAACAAACGGATGAATCGCCTTAAACGAGGGTTATGTATAGGATATGTTGTGTGTAGGATAATTATGGGAATAAATTATAACAGACAAATTGCAAACCATAATCGTATCAACCCCAATAAAAACAAGAAACCGTTTTATTTTATACAATTTTATTTTTATTGATTGTGGAGTCGAGGTCATGTGAAAAACCTTAACAGCAACCACCCTTCAACTAAAAATTAATTCTTAAGCAAATAATGGTCATTAGGTACAATGCTCTCATCGATATTTGTATTTTTATCTGGACCGCTCTAACTTACTCACATACTACTACTACTGTCTACTACTACCTACTATTATTCACTCACTCACTTACATATAATATTTTTCTACTGTAACAGTTTGGACCTACTATCCATAGATTCGCATCGAAGCGTTTATTTAAAAATGATTTTATCACTTTCAGTTATAATAATTCTAGTAGACCCGTGACCTCCCCTCCCCACTATGACTCGACCTAACTGTACTGGCTTGGTTTTTTACAAAACAAATTAACGATTAGAAAGATTATTTTCTAACGTGTTCGGATTTCTTGAGCATATGCCCAAATTTGGGTTTACAAACTAAAATGTGTAAGGTTTGATTTTATGCTATGAATTTTCGTTGTATGAAACGCGTTGGTATATTATAAAAAACCATAAAGTTTGTAAGCAACGCACGGTAAGTAAAATTTTTTTTGCGTCTTCTTTACCTTAAATTTGCATCGGCGTGAAAAAAAATATTAGTAATAATAATGCACATAAAAAAGCTCCATAGTGGTAGATGTACACGGATTTTTCGTACTATTAAATGCGTTAGTATATAAAAGACCTTAAAGTTTTATTATGTTTAACATATTCTATATAGACACAAAATATGTGTTGTATACCTTTAGGCAGAACTTATAGAAATGAGAAAATGTTAAATACATTTATTTTTAATACGTATACAATATATTATTTATATAATAATAAAAGAACTATAAATTATTATGAAACCATTAATTTTGTTTTTATCCATATTCCTACAATTAGTCTGAGAACACCTAAAAATGTCTACATGCGGTCATGAACATAGTTACTATATTATATTTATATTTATATTTAAATACCTTTTAAAAAATCTTATATGGCTTTATCATTACTTTTCTAAATAATTGTATATTCACTATCTTAAAGAGAAACGTATTGAAAACACGTTTTAAGTTGTGTTATTTATCGAAATAAGAAGAAACTATTTGCTTGTGATGTTTTCTATGCTTGTTCAAACCGTTACCCGTTGCACATAATAAGAAATATATCTAAAAACAACATTTGTAAAACCGACCTAGTTGTATTATTTGAGCTCTCCGAAGTCAAAAAGATTTTGATTATTATTATATTGTGGGACCATTCCTTTTTTACTTAAGGCTATTGGGTACACCCGGTCATGAATAATTTTACTATTTTAATTCTTTATTAATTTAAACCCTTTTGAAATATTATATGGTTTTATCATTGTTATTGCTTTTCTAAATTCTTGTTTACTACATTTTTTACTCGGCAACGAATCGTGTAAACGTTTTAAGTTGTGTTATTTATTTAAATAACACCACCACATATTTTGATGCGATGTTTTCCATGCTTGTTCAAATAGTCACTTGTTAGTCGTACACCAATGAACTAAATAATAAACTATTTTAAAACAAAAACAACATCTTAAAAATTGACCTAGTTGTATTTTTTGGAGTGTCCAACGTTAAAACGGTTTTGATTATTATTATATTTTGAATGCGACGCATTACCGAAAAGGACGTTTCACAATACATACTTCTAATTTGTGTAGAGAAAGCTAAATAAATCATTTTATACAAATTAGGAATTATCAATTGCTCAACGGTTTTTGTAGTCTTCACTAAAGAGAACACTCCAAATATACATATAAATATCGTAAAAAGGCGTTTGCATAGTATGTTCTTTCCATGGCTTCATGGAGCCGAAATAACAACTATTAAAAATATACACCCATCTCAAATAACTCACATTTTGGCCAACTATAAAATCTCTACATAAGGAGCGGTAGTGAACATAATTATTTATTTTTTTGGTAATTTATTGAAAAAAATATCGGTAAACAAAAAGTAGTTTTATTGAAAAATGCTCGATGTGAGTATCCAAAAATGTTTTTTTAATAATTATAAAATACAACTTCTCGAACGTGGCAAAGCCATTTTTATTTAAAAAATGTACCGATTACTTTTAACAATAATATTATTGTTTTTTTTTTATGGGGTTAATAGAAAAAATGTATTAAATACTCCATTATTTGTTACATAACATATTACATATTTTGGCTTTTTTTTTACAATTCATCGTACTGCTTATAATTATTTTGTTTTCGTTTTTTATTATCAAAGCTGTACATTATGGCCGGTATTTTTGAAAATTGTTCTCAAGTTGCAATAACAAGTATAAACATATATTTTATCGACGCGTAGGTTTCAATTGAAAATCTATTCTTTTGTCGTTAAAACGAAATTGTTTTTATGGTTTCTGCTTTTGTTGGTCGTTGTAACTGTTCTTATTTGTACTAATGTTTCATTTGCGAAAATATTTCACCGATAAACAACTTATTTTTCATTCGATACAGGTCGTTTTATACTACTATTAGTTTTAATAACTATCTTTAGCCATTCCTTCGTGATTGTTTTTATTCTTAGTGGGTCTTTCCGCACTCCATCCATCTAAATCAGCGGTCTGGGGCGTCTAAGTGGTCTTCTTTTTTTTTTTTTTTGATTTCATTAATCAATTATTGTTCTCAGGATGCTGGCTTACTTTTTTTCCTGCTCAGTTATCATCGAACGACTTAAAAAAAAAACCAACAATAAAATAATACATTCTAAGACATTCTTCACGATTAAACTTAACCATGACCTCGATTTCACAATCGATATGAATAAAATTATATAAAATAAAATAATTTTTTTTGTTTTCCGGGGTCGATACGATTAAAGTTTGTCATTTGTCTACTATAATTTATTCCCATAATTACCTATACATTTTATACCCTCGTTTAAAGTGATTTATCCGTTTGTACATGTCTCGGATGTATTTTCCTTTTTAAAACTTACAATATCGTCGCTTAAGAAGCAACACCACTTATCTCATTTTTGTCAATTTTACAGGAGAGCAAAAAAACCGACTAACACAATGCAAATATTTTTTTGCACTGAAGATATTATGTTCGTTTGTTTACTTAACTATTTCATTTTTTTTTTTGTGATTTTTCGTGCACGCACATTACATAACAAGCGGAGTTTAGACTGCGTTTTTCTACACAATACACTTTTATAAAAACGATATGGGCGGAATAGTATGTTTTTTAAAACATTTTTTTATGGTTTTATAAAAACTGTTTCAACGATTACTAATATTACAATTTTAAATAACGATATTGAAATACTAAAATTCGAATAACGTGCATTATTCTAAGATGTGTTATAATGAATTAAAATAGACTAATCATTTCAGCAACAGCGGTAATTGATAACAAAGCACCTTATGCTAACTATGTTTAATCTAAAACAATGACCAGGCCTTGAAGTTATAAAAAGATGTCGAATTAATTGATTTGACGGCATATTGGTTAGGTTATTGGTTAGAATAACATAACTGTGTGAAATTAGAATTTTAGTCAACCTCAGCAAGTTTCCTATTGTAGCTACCTTGGTTGTTAATAATCAACGTTTACAACATTATGTTCGTCTACAAATTGTGAATAATAACAATATGTCCTTCTTTTACGTGCCTCGACCTCAATGTGTTCTTTGTTTCAATGTTTCTTCCACGAAACTGTCATAATCTACTATACCATGTTATGTGCCTAAAATTCCAACAAATTTATATTCTATACGTATAATGTACCATATTGGACAAGCACGACGACCTAATGTATCAAATAAAATGATTATACATACATTTTTTTTTTTTTTTTGAGCTTATGCTTTTTAGTCTTGGCTAATTGAACAAAAAGTAATTTTATTTTTTACATTTAGCCTAAGGTTTATACATTTAGATTTGATATTATATAATATTTTATTCGCGTGTAAAAGACTTGAAAAGTGGTCGAATTACATGTTTTTGTGGTCGCTGATTTCATATTTGATAACAGTTTTCAGTTTTCACCGGCCAAAAAAATCTTAGGTAAAAAAAAGAAAGTTAATTAAAATCTCAAATGGCAAAATAAATTTATTTGTTTATACATTTTATTTAATTAGAGGTGTGAATTATTCGTACCATATGTATACTGTATAATATACAACAATAATTATGTATCATTACCTAAATATCTTATTGTAAATCTAAGGTTAAAGTTGAATTCAACGAATCCAAATAAACATATAATTAGAACTTTTTTTAATGTTTTAAATCATGAATTTAGGAGATATTATTTTCGATCGCGTTTTTAGGATTTCAGCTCACTGTGCAGCGGTCGTGCAAACTGTCTTCATCTGTGGAGCTTCCGCTCTCGTCTGATGAAGGTGTAATTGGCGGAAATCCAAGCAGTAACTGTTCCTCGAGTGTTTGTAAAGACTGGTTTATATTTTCTAAGCTTGTCAGTGACCATGCGTTGTCAATTTTTCTGTAAACCCTTTTCGCATTAGATTCGTCCGTTAGGATACAAATATGGTTAGTTGAGTCAATTTCAAGTTCTTTTGTGAATGATTCTGGAAATTGTGCACTCAAGTTTAATCCAAGCAAACGACAATTCGGTAATAAAGAGTCCTCTTCGTCCTGCACAGATTCATCTAAAACGTTAGAACAAATTTGTTTTTTAATTTACTAACATTAGCTTACTACTTTACTAGTATGGTGCAACACATAACTATTGGGTTACAACGAAGTCATAAAAATTAATACAATAAGCATGGTGTCCGTATTGTACAGTCATGTTTTTTGTATTACATGAAAATTACGTGTTAGTAGTTATAGTTTATTTGGTTAATTGTTAACAAATAAAAATTGGTTGTACCATTGTTCCTATTAAATAACTCCATAGTAATATTTACCTATTAAACGACGTTTGATTATATTTTGTAAAGCTGGAATAACAATTTCTCTTCTCTGGTCTGCAATGGTTTCCGGTGTTGTCAAAACTATGAAAATAATTATTAAATGACCATGTTGCGAAGAAATAATAAAAAAGTGGAGTAAGTACAGTTTGGACCGGGCATAGTGGGGACGGAGCATAGTGGGGACGGGGAGGTCACAAGCTTATTAAAATAATTATATGACATAAAACATTAAATAAATAAAATTAAGTAAATATCAATAAGCTTTTAAGTCTATTTACGACTATAAACAAATTCGTAATTACCCGGATTATATCCCATCACACTATATCCTGTAACAAATACATCAAACATCAAATCACTATGCAGTAACTAAAACCCGATTAATATATTTATATGTATCATTCACTCTGAGTTTCATTAGATAAATATTATTTTATGCAAAATATAATTGTACAAATGTTAATTTATATCTCATAGTGGTTTTTAAATAAACGGTTTAAATTATATTTCGAATGATTCTTAAAATCTTAATAACAAAAAATATAAAAGCTTTGTGACTTGAAGTTATAAATTAAGTTTTTCTTTAAAACTACGAAAATTTGTAACTTTAATTTTATATTTACCCAGTATACTTTCTATTTCTTCTTGCATTATATGAAGGAAAAAACTGGCTTCTAAAATTTAAATCAAAATACATTTTACTGTACCTACATATTTTTTATGATTGAACTCGATATGTCATATTGGTATTTGTCAATAAGTACATATGATTTTTCTCAAAGAAATTATAAATAATAAATATGCAATAAGTATAAAAAATATGAATCATAAAAGGGAGTTTTACTTTCCAATGTTGGATAATCTGGAAATTCTGTAATTAAAAAAAAATCTTGTGTGCATAAAAAACATCAAACAACTGTGTGGAAACGTTTTCATAAGAAAAAATGCAAATTATTACGTGGTATTCTGTCGACAATTTCCGTATTTTCTGAAATTAACAACGCATAAATTAATGTTTTTGCATTTAGTTTTGTATTCTATTATAAACAGAATGATAAATTTTAACGATGGAAATACATGTGTATTAAAAACTCGAAAGAAATAGGCTCCACTGAGACTTTTTGGAAAATTCAATAGGAATGAAATAGTGGATATATTTTCACAAAATTTAACAAAAACTATTACCCGGTACAGCGATCAAAAAATTAATTTTGCCTAAAATTTACATTACATAAATTAATGATAGTGTATTTAATTTGTCATAATAGATTATTACATTATATAGTTATAAATAAGAAGACGAAGGTGAAAGTAGAAAAAAACTATATTATATAGACTAAGGAATCCCTATGAAATGTAATGGCTGAGTTTATGCAGTTTAAGCGATGAAAATAAAATATAATTATCAGACGAGGTGGATAGAGCTAACATCAGTATTTTTTTCATAAAGATTTTGTTTAAATTTCGGTAGAAAATAAAATAGTTATAACACTCATTAGTGTTAACTCATCAGTTAAACTAACATCAGCATTTTTTTCACAGACTTATTAATTGCATTAAAATAAACTTGAGAACATTTTTTTAATATTATTTTCAAATATTTTTTTTCTACTCTTGAGTTGAAGTTTTTTATTATTTTTATAATTATGATTACAGAAATCCATGTAGTCAATGTCATTATTGACATCATCAACCATTGTCTCAATCATATGCTCCAATGCATCTAGAATAAACAAATGAATATTTGGGCTATACTAAAATATTAAAATTAAATCAAATTAGGTACCATACAAATGTTTAGAATAACAATAAACCCAGCTTTGAGCAATAGCCATTTAACTTAAAGCTACTTCCTCGATTATATTATAAGAATTGACTAATGTATATATTGCTAATATAGTTTTGCTATGTGCACTGTTCTACATATCTGTTGCATTTTCTTAACTATTCATAAAAGCTATAGTTTTTAATTTACTAATAACTTGACATATAAGGTACATATAAAGCGTTTATCTATATTAGCATAATATTTTAAATCTAATATCTTACTTGCTCCATATCTATCTCCTACAGTTAAATCATTCTTTTCATAAGCAAGTCTCATGGCTTCAGCTATGACACATAATTTAAAAAATATGTATAAAAACAGTGGATTTTAAAAACTTTAAATCATTTGTTTATAAAATAAAAAATGTTACTGACTTGTAGTGAAAATATACTCCAAGTATGTTTCTATAAAAAAGTGAGACATTGAGTTTATTTTTAATTTTAACTACTTTAAGTTGATAACTGTAAAATTTAATAAATACCAAAATCGGCCAGCACATCCACGAAGAAAAAAGATATTAAAAGACAGAAGAGTTTCATTTTGATCTGTGAATAATAATAAATAAAAACAAAAGTTTTATAATTGTTACAATGTAAAATAATTCACATTTTTCATCATAACTCATAAATAAAATTTTATTTTTTGAGAGTATTAATTCTTTCTAAATATACATATACACATTTTTTTTGGAGTTTTGTTTTAAAATTGTCAAAGATAAAATTTAAAAAAAAAACATACAAAAACAATTTTTCTTTTGTTTGACTTAGTTTTTTTTTTATAATTGACTTTTTTTACTGTAAAAAACACAAATGATTAAAAAATTTTATTTATATAATTATATTAGATTTTAAATGTGTATACAATTATCAAACAAACAATAAATTATAAGTGCTTTTTATTAAGTCAAACAAGAACATAGGTGTTTCCTACATTGTTTTGCATACATTTTTTTTTTTGTAAAATATAGGCATTTCTTTTCTGGACCGCAGTCATGCTCTTTTCAATATAAAAGTCATTGTCTCAAAAATTTTTCTAATCTGGTTTTTATATTTTTTGTTTGTATTGTGGATTGTGTAAAACGATGATTAAGAATCGATAAGAAAATAACTAGCAATAAAAAATAATATAACTTTTGACTCATGCATTTTTAGTTTTACCGTAATTGCAATTTTTAGAGTTTAATAGAAATGCTCACTTACATTTTGTAGTTGGTATGAGGTTTTTGGACAACTATAGACTTGATCAGCTTTTGAAACTAAATGTACTACTTGAGACATATCGATGGGCTTATAATTCGACCGAAAAATCGCAATCCATATGGGGATTTAACAGGTAACTATATTCATTTATTTACACAACTGGTTCTTTTTTTTGTGATTTATCGTGTACGTATAATACTTGCGATACACTTTTTTATCATGGTTTTACAAAACCGGTCAAAACGGCTACGGGTACAAAAATACCCGTACGTGTTAGAGAGTTAAAGAAAAAAAAATGTAAAAAACACATCAAGTAAAATTGATACCTACATATGAAATACAGACACGTTAAAAAAACGATTATTACCGTTGAACCGAATCGTTATAAGTTTTAAAGTAAACATATAATTTTTTTTTTTATTTAAAATTTTTTTTCATCGATAATGGCATGAACGATTTCAAGGACAAAGTCGGCTATGAGTCGTTCAGTTTGACTTTTTTTCAATGTGCAATAATATTAAGTATAAAAAGAGTATACAGGGTGGGTAAAGCAAAAATTCCATACAAATTTGGAACTAATTTGGCTATTTTTTAAAACGCGCATAGGGCGTCGTAATTTTTAAGTTGGAAATAATATTTTTTTAAAAATTTGAAATATTTCTCAAGAGTATTTTTTTGTGTTATACATTTATATAAGTAGAAGATATTGTCATTGTTACTTTAAAAAGAAAAGCCGCCCATTGAGGACACTCTTATTAATTTGGTTTTTTATTACGTATGAGAGAGAAGGTCTCGCACCACTCTTTTTTAATCGTTTAGGTGAATTTTTGAGCTTTGAGGGCAACGCAAGAGGGTTTGTATGGATATTCATAGAGTTATACAAATGTCTATAGTACTCGTTGGCAAGGTTATAGTTCTTTTTTTGTAGGTTTGAGTGTACATATTTATCAAATACAAATTATAGTTTTCTATAATTTGTTTGATAATAGTTGAATTAATTCCAAATTTCTATGAAATATTCTTTAGACATTGTACAGCCGGCAAACGTTGACAAACGAAAAAAATATCATAATCTCTTCTACCCAGACAGGGTGAAAACATTTTCTTAATTTCGCTTTTCTAGGCGAAGTATTAGAGTTTAAAGTCGGATAATTTGACCACAGATATGTCTAGAATGGCCCTATAACATAATGTTATACAATTTTCTCGAAAACCTATAGTTTTTCTTACTATTTATTATTGACGTATAATCATAAATTAGAAATTAGTATATACTTTTATTATTAGAACACACTAATCTGGTGCCCCCCCCCTCAAACTAATTGTGGGATCCGGAAGTCACCGATTCAAAAAAAATGATGTCCGCTTTGAGTTGTTGGCTCTTATTATCGAGTTATTGCCTACACTCCGTAAATGGCCATAAGAAAAATTGTAAAAGTATTTTAACTGGTCTTAAAATGGCATGTACCTACTGTGCTTGGTTCAGACTTTACTAGTTTGGAAAATATTATAAACATATTTTTATGGCTCTTGCTAATTTCTGCTTACATGTTCAACTGTATAAATGGCATAGCTAGGCCCCCCTGGGAATCTGTGATCGCCCTGAAAATATTTAGCACTGTGTCACCCACACGTGGCTAATTTTATGTATAATTTGCAAACTTGCAACTAAAATTCGGTATGAATATTTAAAAAAAATTGTATTTGTGCTTATGCACACCAAAGTATAAAAATCGCGAAAATGCTTATGTATACTCAGGTGTTTCGCATGATGCCGAATGTTACCTGGTTAAAAACACCTAGCAGTGTTATTTCCTTTAACCGAATACAAAGTCCTGAGTCAGATCAGAAACGATCTATGTAAATCTATGAAAATGCCAAATTACACTAGAAACCGAACAAGTCATCATCCTAATACTTTCATTTCTAAACTCTCATCAACTATTTCTGGCAAACTTTGAAAAAGATTAAGGGAGCGGTTATGTCGTTACCTGCTGGTACAATAGCAAAAAACCAGCACAGTCTGAACTAACTACCAGGGAAGAAGTGGAATGATATTTTGTATTTAGATAGTGTGTAGTCCATTGAATTTAGAATTATGTGAAAAAATTAATTATTCTGGTAATGCTTTAAAATGTGGACATTTTTATAAGCACCTGAACTTGGCCTACCCACATTATTTGATCTTATCAAAAATACAATCAAAATGTTAACAAGTAATTTGCAAAAGTTTGCAACTCTCTTTTTAAAGTTTGCAAGTAGATTCTACACAAGATATGACTAATTTTGTAAAAGGTGGGCCAATTTCTTGTAGCTCTGTAATTTGCTCCAATCGACTCAGAAAAGTGCAATTTGTTATAATTAACAAGAATTTACAAAAAAGCTCTCTTCCTCGCCATGCCATTTTTGACAACGAATTCAAAAAAACCGTTAGTGTTTCAATTTTTAATTTTCATCAATCTATTCGTTTCCTATGACATTGTAAAGATTTATGTTTAAGACCAATATTCTTTCGGTTTGTACAACGATAGCGTAACTGGCTAGTTAGTATTAATATCGATCTTGTCGATAACACTGTCAATGTGTTTGTATACTTAGATAAGGTCCGTTTTTCTCTCATTATCGCATAGACATTTTATTGTATCTGGATATTCATTACAATTCATTTTATGATATGAAAAACTCAAAAAAATAAAATCAATAAAATAGCAAGCAGTGATGGGACAATCTAATAACTGAAAAGTTGTCTAGATAACCAAATAGATGTAAAATAATTACAATAGTTTAATTAAGATAGATTTCAACACTGCAAGTAAGTCCACTAAATGTGTTCAAAATCATATTAAAACACAATATACTTCAATATACAATTTGCAAGTTGTGTTTTAGCATTTGCAAGTCTTTGTAATAAATATTTAATAATATTTTATTTTATTTTTTTGTATCTAGAACAATTTAACGATTTTTCACAACTGGCTATATATATATAATATTTCTACACTATAAATTACATATAACATTTTACATATAATAATTTCTGTAGACCGGTAACCTCTCCGACTTCTCTATGCTTTGATTCCATTATGACTATACTCTACTGTACTAGTCCTCTCACATAAAATCACTTTCATATAAATTCTATGATGCGTATTTGTAAATAGAGCACCCCAATTCAATACTTTCTTACTTTGCTGGTTTACACTGTGCTTGATTTGGACTGTACTGGCTTGAACATACTAACTACTGGTTTGCATCGAAGCGTTTATTTGAAAGTGATTTTATGACTTTCAGATTTAAAAATTCCTGTAAACCTGTGACCTCCCCATCATCATTATGCCTTGTCACCGCTGTACTGGTTTTATTTTTTTTATCTTATTGTCTTAATTAATGCTATTACAGTAAAACACTCTTTTTCACTAGTCGCCTCATGTTCTTAATCGATATTTTCTGTTTCTAATACATCTATAACTGTTGCTCCAACCTTTTTATTTTTACACACAACAGTAAATTGGTTAATATTTGAGCATTTATGTAGGATATATAGGATTATGTTTTAAAGTATGTAGGATTAATGTGTGTACCCTGCATTGTTCTTATTTTAATCACATTTAAGTAAATCCAATACCATTGTGGTTGATTAGCCAGAATATTTTTTTTCCCAACTCGATAATATAATTTTAATTTTATTTAGTCGCCAATATTAGAACTCCATTTAGGTTATGTTACCTCTAACAATAATACTCTATATAATGACCATTAAGTTGAAATATCTATTAGAAATATAAATTACGAACCTGCTACCCAAATTTGCACAGTCATTTAATAAAGGTAGACATAAGGAAAAGATTTAGAAGCATAAATAAATAGTTAGATAGATAGATAAAAAAATACAACTAATTTTTCGGTAATTATTTATTTTATTGGTAGAAAGGACGTCAAACAAAAATAGACATACAATATTATGTACTTAAAAATGTATGACGTGGAATCCACAAAAAATCCACAAATGGATCTTTACCCGTCAGCTTAAGAATATGTATGATATTTAAAATTTCAGATATAATAATGATAATAGTGATAATGATAAGACCTAGATTTTAGGAGTGTGATAAAATTATGTAAGCCTGATTAAACATAATTCTTATCTTCAAACCATGAAATATAAAATAAAAAAATCTGTGGATAGTATGTTCAAACCAGTTATAGCGGTTTAGAAGATATCGTAGGACCAGCAATAATGTACTTAAAATATAATATTTAGTCTTATGCAGGATGGATACGATAAGGGTTGATCGTCTGTCTATAAAAATATATTGCCGTAGTTACCCATATATCGTAATAAACAATATAATGAAAATATTTTCATTACCTGTTGACTGTTGATTCACACACACATAGCAACCTAGAAACTGACTATGGCCAGAGTGTAAATTTACTCTATTTTTGGGGTTTTTCCTTAATAAAAAAAAATTTGACTACAGATTTTTGAGAAAATTGTATATGTTATAGTTCTATTTTAGATCTACCTTCGGTCTAATTTTCAGATAAAAATCTCTAAAACTTTGCTTGAAAAATGTGAAATAAAGAAAAAATTCTACCCCTTTTAAGGGATAGAAAGGGTTTATGCTATATTTTTGGTTTGTTAATGTTTATCGATAGAACTATGTTTGAAAAAAAATTCATATAAATTTGGAACATTTTAAAGTTATAGAGCATTGTAATTTTAAGTTGAAAAATTTGTAAATTTTTTAGGAGTTTTTCTCGATTTTGATGGGGAAAGGGTGACTTTTTTTAATTTTTGGCTCAATTAAGTACCTTCCAGGTATGATTTCTGATCTATAGAGTTGCTACACGACGAAATCGGTTCAGCGGTTTACGAGATATCATGGGTCCAGACACAAAAAAAAAAAAATAAAAAAACATCATTTTAAAAACAATACCTTCTCAGCTCCGCATCGGAGCTAAAATCATCTATACTTTTTCTCCTAAGATACCTAATAACGACCAAAAAATAACTTTCATTATCAAAACACATAATTTATTATTTTACACAGCATTCAACACATTTTAACAAATTAAAAAAAACAACATAATAATATCTTTCCAACAATA